GAAGGCTGTCATGGCAGCATCCGTATAACACCTCTTACCAATACTCTTACGTTAGAGCTAATTTTTTTCTACGTCTTCTGGTGACCTGCATGGTTTGTAGACTCGGTGCGTTCGAAATTCTCGAGAAACTGTTGTGTTCCTGTCTAATCTGCCCGTAGTGGCACTAGACGCATTGACGCACGTTACCGCCCATACCTATGAGACGGGCCACGAATTTAACTTCGTAGCCGCGAGGATAATTGCCAACGCCGGCAACAAGACAGGAGGAGAACTAATTGAAGCCTCGGCCTTGGAGAACAAACCGGTCAGCCGATGTATCCAGCTGGCACTCGCACACATCGTCCTTCGCAGGCATATCCGCACGACCGACACTGGTGATTAATGAGTCCCCTCCCCCTTCCCCCTATAACAGTTGATTTGCTCCTGCCCCCTATGACTGTTGCTTGTTTTTTTTCGTTGACACTTTTATATCTGAAGATGGACTTCCGCGAGAGGCCGAACACTCAGAAGAATAAAATTATGCTTCCGGTGATCGAACCGCCTTCAATGTGTTTCTGAAAGGTCGACATCGGTGAAACCTATGACGCCCTTGCGCGCTGACAAACAGAAATGGTGGGCCATCAAAAATAGTGATCCCATTGGCAGCATAGACTGATTTACAGCTAGTGCAAGACTCAGACAACAGAACAATAAATGAAGCAAAGAGGGTAGAAGAGGACACATACCTGAGATATCATAAATATTAGGTCGGCAAATAGGAGCCTCTGACCTTCGGACCGATGAAGGAAGTTCAAGAGTGCTCCCTTTTGCATGTACTCGACAATAATGCACACCGGCTCGTCCGGGGGCTCCGTGCAGACTCCCAGGAGAGTGACGATGCGAGGATGACGCAATTGGTGCATCACTTTGGCCTCATCCAGGAACTTTTCACGATCCATGGCGTTCTGGCTATTGACATTGTTGAGGAGCACCTTGACGGCAACCGTGTAGTTTTTGTTTAGCACGGCCAAATGAACTTCGCCGAAATTGCCATTGCCAAGTTTTCTCACGTACTCTATACCCTTCCGGTTTACTTCCAAATCTCGGAACTGCACGGGCGGGGTGTACTTGCGAGGACAGGGCTGCGTCAGTCGACAACAGATACCGTCTGCAGAGTCTGGGCGAGGTAATGGGGGAAGGAATCACTTACAGAGTGGAAATGAATAACCGAAAGAAGAAGTTGCGTCAACACTGAAGGGCAACATAACTAGGGACTTAGCCTTTAATCCTAAAAATTCAAATACCCAGGTTCGAGATGATGTTTAGAAAAATGTTTGTGCGCCCTCATTTGTCTCACTAGCATTGGAGTTCATTTATCGATACCTCTTATACCGTTCTATTAATGCTGCAATAATTAGACAACCACTTACGCTGACTAATGCTGCAGTTACGCACTAGTCTATCTTTATAAGGCACCCAACCATTGGATTCCATGAGCAGCCTGTGGTTGGTGGCCTCAAGGTCTGAGTCAGTTTATCCCATCATTCGCTCCTTTGAGTGTAGCACGTTCCATACATAGAGAACACAAGCAACCTTCGAGGATTCACTCGGTCAGTTTTGTATCCGGTGAGATATCCATCGTTGAAGCTGTGAATAAATCTGCCCAAATATTATTTCGTTTCTTCAGTCTTCCGCTGTTGGGATTTAGTGTATTTTGACTCGAAAGGAAAAAGGAGGTTCACACCTAACTGGTCGAGTGTGAGAAGCAGAAGTGAGGTATATGCCACGGAGGTTGACACCGCGCCCTCTCAGAGACAGTAGTTGACATCGTCGTTTACAACAGTCAAATTATCATTAGAGAGACCGCCACTACTCGCTGGTTGTTTCAACTATCCACTAGGATATTTGAAAAGCTCAAAAAAACTAGTTTGGATTTGGGATTTGGATCTAATAACGTTTACTTTATTAAAGGTGTCCCCCCGGTTAGGCTATGCTCAACTGCATGCGGCGTGTGACTTTGCCGGACTGTAGCAAAAAGCCGCCAAGTAGCGGGGGCCGAATGCACACTCAGCAAGTGAAACCTTCTAATTGGCTCATATA